CATTACAGGGTATTATCCCTGGTTGAATTTAGCCAATCAGAATTTCTTCTAGAATTTTTCATACCATCGATCATTACAGTATTTAGTATTTCCATCTATGGAAATATCCCTAACTGCATTTGACTTAAAAAGTCCAAATAATTATAGAGATAAATTGGGCAACTATTAAAGTCAATTATAGCAACTATAAAAACTAGTTATGGCATTACAGATATGTCAACTATACATGAAGTCGAAATTAAAACCCCAAGGTTGAAATGTTTCAATTTGAGGCAACTACATAGTAAGATCAGTTTTGACCTTATTTCAACCCTATTTCAACCAGATCTGCAAATGGTCAAAATAGTTTCAACTTCATGTATAATGGCAAACAACTATAGTCCATCAGTGTAAGATTTTTAACATACTATATTTAGTATTTTATTAATGGCAATGGACCATCCCAAAACTCATTGGTCTCAATGTACCCAGTTTATTTCCAACCCTGAAACAACCAATTAAATTATTTACCATGAGTTTTAGTAGGAGGAACAACATTGATGATATCTGTTAAGAAGAAAGAAAAACATAGAATGAATTAATAATATTGATTGCTGTCATGTCTTGCTGTTGTGCCATTAATTACAGTTGGTCTTTTTAGGGTATACCATGTAAATTAATGGGCAATAAATAGAATTGGATAGAAAAATGGTATGAACAGCACCAGATAGAGAAATTAAAAAAAAGGAAATCCAAGAATTAAAAAGCTATGAAATGTGGCCAAAAAATAACTGAGCATTTTAAATATAAATAGGAACAACAAGTATAGCAAATTATCCTGAACTATTATCACCAAAAGGACTAATTATCAGTAAATTTTATTCATACTATAGATTAGATGATAATAAATGTAGTTCTAGGACATAAAAATTTCCTATCCATCCCACAAAAATCATAGTATTACAGTGCTGTGATAACTGGTTTTCCCATTAATTATAAGTTCTTTGCAAAAGATGTGAACAAGCTGACAATGCCATTCCTATTAACTATACAAAAATTCGTAATAAGGTAAAATGTGTTTATTTAATTTATTAACAACAGGGGAAAAAAAAAAAATTATTTATTCAATTATTATTAATGTTATTAACACCATCCTCCTCTCTCACTTGGTCTAAAACCAAGCCTTTTTATACCTCTTGAGGTATTACAAATAACATGACCTTTACAATATTTTATCCAATAAAATATGCTTATTAATCCTATTTTCTGTATTACTAGCTTACTAATTGTTAATTACTAATGCTCTGACTCATAATTACTAATCCTATGAGTCATTATTACAAATAATTTGATTAATAATTCGAAGTAAATAATTATGTCATAAAATAAGTTAAAAATAGAAATGATGTAATGATCTACATGTGTAACATGACGTGCAACCGTTGCAATAAATATAGAAAGATGATTGTTAATCGTGATGTAATATTTAGCGCATCACAATGAACATTACGAGAAATCAACCAAGGAGGCTTCATTATAAAGCAAATCCTGAAGAAGAATAATAAATAAAATATCTTATTCAATACTAGTTATAGCAAATTAAATTATTTATAGCAAACTAAAATAAAAGCAAGCATTGTAAATTAAATTATAAAACATATTAAGCATGACTTCCGTAGTAAGTTCGTTCTAATTGGTCGATATTAACGGTCAATCGGTTGGTCCACGGTTTACAATCTCACACTATTATCATCACAATTAGTTTTATAATGTCCCATTCGTTAAGTGATACACTCACTAGTCATAAATATAAGGACACTTGCAGATCATCAGAAAAGAAACATGAAAAAAAAAATAAAAATATAATAATAATTATTTAAAAAAAATCAACAATGGTTAGGCAACTTGCATTGACTTGTCCAATCCATATGTTCATTGCTTATTTCTAGTTCAGGAAACCTCACTTGTATACAACAAAAAGTATTATGATGGGTTGTAGATGAAGCATCTAGCCATTTTTCTTTATCATGTAAAGTTTTTGTTACTGATGACCTATCAATATTCAATGAAATTTTTCACTAAAATAATTTGCAATTTCTTGATGAGTTTTCTGAATGTTTTCTTGGTAATATATACAAATTTCTCTTTTCAATTGCTCACTAATAGCTGTTTTTTTTTCTTGGTTGAGACATGATAATGATAATGATAGTAATGATAATAACAACAATAATGGTAATGATAATTAATAATTTGAATAAAACGAATAAAATGAATAAAACAAATGGGGGGACATTGTGCCAGTCTAAATTTTTTTTTTTGACAAAGAAAGAACTTGCCACATGTAGGAAAATCAATAAGATAAGAAACAATATGGTCAATAAGTGATGGTATTAGCACGGTTACAAAATTTTTTCAGTGAACCTAGGAATAAAACTCATGCTTAAAGGAGGGACCTTCATGGGTGTATGAGACTCTTGTTATTGATGTACGATCAGATAGTGTCTTAGAGGAGGATGCATGTTGCTCATGAAAATGAGCAAGGCAACATCTAGCTGATTTTTTGACAATTCTATTAATAATAGCATTATGAAGGCTTGGATATTACTTTAGAAGAACAATGAAAGTCTATAATTGAATATTGAACACTTGTGCAAGAACTTCCAGAGCATCATAAAGAACACAAAAATTATTTATCCCTGGGCAAGTACTTTTGCATGATAAAATTCTACTATATTGACACACATCCAGTTTTCAACCTTGATGATGTATAAAAAACACAAAATTGTGCCATTCGATATAATGCATCATATTTTAAATCCAAAACACTTCTTTAGTTGACCAGTTTGTCTCTGAACTTTGCTGAGATTTTTTATTGGCCATTTGTACTAGACATAAACTGTTAATATTAATATTAATTGATTTAAAAGTTTAATAATTGTGGAATTTACAGATGTATGAATACCATTCCTATGACTTGATTGATGAATGGTTGAATTCTGGATTAACGTTATTCCACCCTAATTATAGCATGGTTAATTATAGACAAGGTAGAAAGTCAAAGATCTGATTTTAATATTGGGGATTATGGTTCTAAGCTAAAATTGTTCTTCATGAAGATTATGGTAAATATTCTTATACAGCCAAAGGAAAAGCAATTTCAACTAATGGGTAATTTAATAATCTTGATTTTATAGCAAGATTTATTTTCAAAAGCATTTCATTAAAGGTTCCTTGAACTTTTGTTGCAAAACTCTCTCACTTGCTGGCCATATACTATCTTGTCCTATTTGTACTGCATGTTGAGGTTTCAATTAAAGATACTGGCTGAAATTAGTGTATTACAACAATGGTTGCAACCCTTAGTCGCAGCCATCATTCAAATGTTGCGATGTCGCAAGTCGCAAACCATGTTGCAAGTCACAACCATGTCGCAAATCATTCTGCAATTATATTGGTCAATACTATAATACTATTACACAAATTTTTTTATAATAGTCATTACACAGGAGTTTTTAATGTTACAATCATGAATAATAAGTGGCATGCAATTTCTTCTTTTAAAAAATTTACACACTTTCTTTTTAAATTCCATATCATGGTAGTATATATATACCAACTTATTTAACAATCAACTTAACCAAGATGTCAGTGATTTTTTTTAAAAAAAGTTAAGAGTATTTGGGAAGTATTTTAAAATTGAGCAAGATAATGGATATAGTTTATAATGAAATTTGTAAAGCTCTATCAAATGAATTAATGAATGGATATGAAGATACAGAGTGGTTATGTTGTAGAAATAGAAAGAAGAAAATATAAATTGATTGGCTAAATTTTTGATACTCCATAATCATATAACAAGAGATGTTTTTTTTATATTTATCATCAATTAATCAATGTAACCCTTTGATAAAATAAATGGTATATTACACCTAAGTTCTTTGTAGAATAAGTAAAAATACAAATAATAAAATGTATATAGTATTGAGGTGTTAATATGAGTGATATTTTCTAAATGCCTACCAATATATTGAGGTGGTGACATAAATAATAGGATTAAAACCTTATTTATCAGAAGGTAATTACTTATTAACTCTCTTTTACAATTAACTAATTTACTGTATTTTTGTTAGCATAGTGGACATTCGTTTTATCACATGTGACAAAATCGATTGTCGATCTTTTTTATATTGTGAAACTTGCTATTTCAATTGAATTTAGAATAGAAAAAAGTCGCGTGACTGCGCACAAA